GGTTTTCCTTTGTGTGTGATGAAATGATAGAAACAGCCCACTCAAATAATTTTCATTGAAGACAAAAATCTTGCAGCTATATTAATATTAATCAAAATCAAACATTTGCAATTAGTTTAAATGAGCTGGTAAAGGGTAAAACACAAAGACAAAACTGAGTCACTGAGCCTCACAATGCCTCTAGTGATTTCTCCACTGGCCCTTCCTTTGCACATGGTCAATTAGAATTGAAAATCCTCTGCTGATTTCATTCGCTGGAATTTTTAAACAGGTCAGGAAGAAAGATGTTATTGAAAGGAAAAGTCTCATCTAAATAAGAAAGGAGCACGTGGCCATCTGGTCCTAGCTATACATATAAAAAGTTATTTCAGCTGAACTGCAGTCTTGATGTTTTAAAAGATGTGCCAAAAATCAACCCCAAAATCTGTTTATGGTAAAATATCCCAAATGTTTCTTTTTAAACCTCCAAATATGCAATACACAGTTCATTTCCTATCTGTGATTCATGAGCCCATTTGACCCCAGTGCCTCACTGAGCCTCCCTGGGATTCAGGCAGGAGGACATTCAATCATTTTCAGAACTCTTTTCCTCATGGAATATCTACAGAACCCTGGCTCTGGAAACTTGTAAAAATAACTTGGATAGTTTTCACACAAATTGATTTTGAGTGTTGTGTGTACGTAGAGTCGAAGGAATAAAATCTGAAACATAAAGCAACCAAACCAGTTTCCCTTCTTTTCTCAGTGCAACTTGAGGTTTCCGTGCCTTCTCAGCACAGGGCTCAGGCATCTGTCCACAATAAAGTCAGGCCCTATGCCTAAAGGCTAAGCTTTAAAACATCCACTCTTTCTTTTCACAGAGATCACACGTGTTGAGTCTACTTTTAGAAATCAGGTTCTTAGTGGTAAGAAATAGGAGTTTTTTTGTATTATTTTATACTGTTCAACAAATTACACTCATATCTTTTGATATGAATAAAATGCTTTTGATGTGGGGCAATAGTTATAACATCCATACATTAATTTGTCCAAAATCTTGAGTGCCTCCTTCTGCTAGCTTACACATAGCTAGTTGATATTGCCATCTGAAATTCATTGTATTAAATATGTTAATATTCTAAAACATTTGAAGACCTCATGTTGTAATATATTACCAATAATTATTTTGGGTCATAAGACCATATTCAAATATATTACATAGAGTATAATATACACACATACAAGATATATGTGATCATGACATCACCATATACTACAGTATTGGTTTTAGCTAAGTCTTCAGTTAAGTAATTGGAAGAATATCCTGTGAAACACAAGAATCTTGATATACCCCTGAAATAAGAGAGCCATTGGTTGTTTTGGTACACATCTGTTTGTTCTGCCATTTCAAATAAATCATTACCATTGTGTAAGGAGAATAAACTGTACTATAGTAATTGTTCTTTCTCTGTTATGCTCTGAAAAACCATTTGTTCTTGAATTGGCATTACGTAGTTCAACTGTTTCAATCAAGTCCATTATCTTCTTGTCTTTGAAAGTTGCCTTTTTAGTGACCTGTATCCCAGCGGGCGAAGTCATGCATTGTTTTTAGAAAGTAGGTGAAAATTAAATCCAACTATTTGTTTATTTTTCACTTTCATAAAGAAATTATAAAATTCATCACCAGGCTAGAACTCCACTATATTCTGGACAAAATAGTTATGGAGAAACTATACAGCCAGGACCCAGAATTTCTCACAAAAGTTATTTATCAGTTCACAGTAGAGTGTGAATCCACAGAGCACCACCTAAATCGTGTAGCTTGTTTTTCCTAAGTATAAAATATGTCCGTTCTTTAAGCTATATATTTTTCTGGAGAAAAGTAACATGAAAAAAATTCCTTGTTTAAAAATAATGATATAATAGCCTAGCAAAATAAATTTTATTAATTTTCATGGTAACATCTAAATAGTGCTCTTCATGTGACTTTCTATTTTGAATTATTTTGAGTTTTTTTTAGTATATAACAATGAAGTAGTATTGAGAGCAAATTCCAAAACATAAAAAAATTACATACCAAATACTTGGTGTATAAGAGCTGTTAAGTACACCCAATCATTTTATATTAATGAAGATTAACTTAAATTACACATCAAAACTTCATAGTTAAGATCCAGTATGTAAACATAATTGTTCTATATATTTATCTCAAATCCAACAATATGTTTTAGTAAGTGTACTAAACTGTTTGATTCAAGAAAAGGAAAGTACTGTACTTAAATATATACATTAATAGTACATCTAAACACTTTTTTTTTGGTGAGTGACTTCTTAACGGTAAGGCCCATAAAACAGACTTGAAAGATAAATACACTGAACCAGTGCACAAAAATTTTAATCCAACCATCATTTAATCCAGAGATATACCTCAATAAAAGCACAAGAAATGAGCATTACTTCTAATTTGTTAGTATAAAATTATTCTTTGCTTAAGGAATAAGTTCATAATAAAATAATTTGATAGTTTTAAAATTTTAAATAGCGAAACACCAACTCATAAGAAATATCAGTATTGTATCATTTCTATCTGAATGTTTTCAAAATACTCAACATTTCTACAACCTATTCATATTGAAATGCAGCCACCTTGGAAATATTCAACCAGCATATTAATAAGGTTCCTAGAACCAGAAAACTCTGCCTCACTACATATATCTTGTTAAATATATCCTTACTGCTCCATAAACACATCTGAGAGGGGAGACAGAGAGAGAGAGAGAGAGAGAGAGAGAGCTACAAATAAAATAGTCCTTTCCTGTGGGTGTCTGTCTGGGTGTCGGTTAACCCCACAAACATACGAACTTCCTTTGGGCACACACCCAACTGACATTGGTGATTAGATGACTGAAAAGGGAGCCCACAAAGGAGAAATTCTATCTGTGATGACATCACCAGCTACCTGGGTTCCTACAATATAATGATGTACTTGCTTGGCTGATGTATATGTCTTGAGTGCGCATATGAGAGACAGAACGAGAGAGACAGAGACACTTAAAGAACAGCATCATCAGAAATGGAACATAACCTTCTGCAAGGTTTGCAAGAACCTTTCCATAGACCTTTGACTTTTTCCACATTTCATCGAGGTTAAGTTCCTGCAAAAATGTATTGCCCACAGAAGCAAATTATGTTTTGTTTCTTTAACACATTGCTAATCCTAAAATATCCTGATGGGATCGGTCGAGATGAGATTTCTCCACCAAATGAGGCATGTGCTTCTATGTAATACGGTGCAGGAGTTGCAGGGTCCCCTGAGACCTGCCTTTGAGTGGCTTGGATTCCTTGCTTTGAAGGTAATGAAAGGGTTAAACATTGAGTCTGTCTAGGGTAAGAGAAAGGGGATATTGTTGTCTTTAATCTTTCCGCAGTATGTGTAAGACTTCCATCCCAGATCTGCACATAGCAGTGGAATAGGCTCGGCATGCATTGCGTGCAAGCTCCTTGATTGTAGAAGGGGGAAAAAAAACCTGGCTGGAGTCCAGACAGGCTGGAGCTCTGTTGATCATTATGTCTAGCCTTCAGGTGTCTCCACACACAGTGGGCGGTGGTGGGGGAGGTGTAGATAACATGAGAGCAGACAAAGAAAAAAAATGGTGTATTTTTAAAAGATTATACAAAAATTTGTGTCAGAGTCCTCCTTAAAAAATGATTCTGAACGTCTTGGACTTTTATAATTAGAACACAGGCTCTGCTCTGGCAGCTCTCTAAGCCATAATTAGTTATGTCTGGAGCCTTTGAATAATTCCTTTCAATAATTGATGGAGTTAATATTCTCTTTTAAAAATGAGTAGGGTAGAGTGTTCTTATAAACTCTCTTTTTGTTGGTGGCTTTGTCATTCAAAAATCTTCACCAGTCATAATCACATTGATTTGATTTGCCTTTTAATTTCTTATGAGACTTAGCTTATAACTTTTTAAGGATTTGGATGATTCTAGAAGTACAGGCATATTGCATTGCTAGATTACCCTAGCTGAATATAAAAGGAAGCAGTAATATAGGAACAGTCTCCTCCATTTGTTTCCAATCATTGTATACATTTTTTTTTTTTTAAAAACTGTTTTGTACTTAGCTTCTGTTTGAAACTCTATCAAAAAAATCTTACCATGAATGCAACTTAGATGTTAACCATATCTTTTGCCCTCTGGCAAGAAGAAATCCCAAATTATTTTATTCTTCAAGCATTCTTCTATAAAGAAGCTTCCGCATGCTTCCTCCCCACCCCCACATCTTCACTCCACCCTATTAGGAATTTCAAAAAAAAAAAAAAAATCTTTATACATGGAAGGCTGAATCCTAAGACAGAAAGCTGTCTTTTCCTTGTATCTTTACACTGGCCACTTTCGGTCGCCTTTACTTGTGCTGCGACTTCATTTCACATTTTGTGGATGAAAACCCTGAAACCAGTGCAGTCGATATCACAATTATAAAATTAAACCTGTGGTTAGAAATTAAATAAAAAGAAAGCCCTGGCTTGAAGCCATTGTTCAGAATTTAAGAGCTGTTTGCCTCCAAGTGTCTTAGCAGTCTTTCATAGCTAATTATAATAACTGTCAGATGTCTGGAAAGTCCGCCGTGCCCTTGTCAGTGGAGTCAGCAAAGTTTGTCTTTTATTTTTCCTGGGGACAGATCAAATCTGATTAGACATAAAGAGCAAAAAGAAGTGAACTAAGTACATATGTATGTGCCTTCGCTTTTTTCTTATGAACAAAGCAGCGCACTGGAGCAATGCTCCCGTGTACAGCCTCCTGCAGCTACTCTTTGGAATGCCTGACTTTTATTTTTAATTCTTTATCTCTAACATAATAAAGCACGCAACAATTGCCTCTGGACAGTTTTCCTGTCAACATCTCCCTTTCGATATACACACAAAAGAGGTCTCTAACAAATCTTCAAATATTTGATGCTTATGACAGAAAACTATTTTAATCAGTACACTTGAGGGAAAGAAAGGTATACTTACAATTTCAACATGGTTATTTGCTGTAGTTCCTGGTCCCCGGAGGCAGAGCAGAGGCTTTTACCAGCCCGTCCCCAGTGCAGGTGCAGAATCCCTGTTTTCGTGCCGCAGGAAGGCGGAGAAGTCCTTCGTAAAGTCACTAGGAACTCAGCCACTTCTGCTCAGGCATCCCTTGCTCCTGTGGAAGCCGTACTATCTGCAGTTCTGAATTGAACTAAATTACAGCCCATGTGAAAGACAGGGGCAGTGAGTCATGTGAGAGATACACAGCTACCCTATTGGTCACCAAGCCATAGCTTAGACATTCTGCCTTTTCCACTATTGGTGAATAGTTAAAACTGAAAGCATCTAGATCCTCCTCTTGAGCTTATTTGTCCTTTATGTGTGGAAGAATGACTGTAGGATTTTACAGTGACAGAATTAGTTAAGAAAGGGACTGAAGTCATCCTTCACAGAGACCAGTGGGAGGAGACTGGAAGCTCAGCTTTTTCCAGATTTTTTTTCCTTTTCATTCCCCTGCCCTGCAGTTTTGTCTGTGATTTGCCTGTTTGCCTGTCAGAAAACATTTTTGTGTTTTTTAAATCCCTCTGTTCACTTTAGAGGTGAGGGAAAATAAATTCCCATTGCATTCTTTCATGGAACTCAGTCATGTTTTGAAGCAGAAAGTCAAGTTTTTTTTTGAAAGATGGGTTTCTAAATTTTATTTTGATCTTTACAGAGCCTTTCTTGCATTTCCACGCTAACATGATACATTGCTCATTAGTGACACCAGAAACAGAATTAACTTTTTGGAGTAGTTATTCCATTTTGGAGAAAGCAGGGGGAAAATAATTCTGGAAAATATTAAAAGGCAAAATATCCAATAAATCAAAGAAATATCTTCCACTAAGTGTGGATAAAGAGGAAATAGAAAATTTCCACTCAAAGACATTCTTTCACTTACTTATTTTGGTAATGTAAAATGTCTACAACTCTGAAAATCAGATGGTATTTTTTTGGTTCTTCTAGGATTACTTAATTCACCTGATTCTTTGCCACACCTCTAGAACGTTTGTAAAGGGCTACAGAGTAATTGGCCTTAGGGATCATTAAATCTCTTCTTTTAGATACTGAAGGTGAGGACAGTGGGGTCTGACAAATAATGACTCTCTTCACAACACTGACCCAGTTATGCAAAATAAACGAAGGAAATATCAAAATTAAAATTAGCTTGATTTTTCTTACGTGCTTTCTAAGAGCCTGACACTGGTATTTAATTTAATCATTACAAGAACACACAGTATCTGCTTCATGACTTTCATTTCTCGATGGTATAAACAGATGCACATGTTTTACTACCATGAAAATAGTTTAGATTTGAATCTATGGTTTGTGCCTATTTTTTCAGCTACCTGTGTTGCTTTCCAAAATAGTGATGGTTATCACTTGGATGTATCTTATTGCTGGATGTCAGGTAATAGGCAAAGTACTTCACATCTCAGTAAATCTTGACAACTGTTAATAACTAACATGATTTATTCTGTTATCCCCATTTCAGAGGTGAGGAAATGAAGTGTCATGGTAGTTAGATCAATTCTCATGCATTTTACTTACCATAGCATAGATTCTTATAATGCTATTGAACAAGGTTTGTATGTCTTGGCTGGGTTTTTTTTTTGGTTTTTTGCTGATAGAAGACATTTAAAATTTTAGCATAAATACAAAATATTCATTATGGTTACTTATGTGTGGTTCAGGCCCAGACCATCCCATTAAGTGATCCTGATAGGACTGAACGTAGGCATTAGGGGACATCTGTGGAACCATATTTACCTTTGGGTCCCTGCAATAGGCTCCACAGGGTGCTGGTACTGTAGGAGGTTCTACATCTGTTGAAGGAACATAGTCCCAGAACATTCCTTTGGGTACCAGCAGTCCTAATACTGCTTAAAAAGCCTGAAATCCATCAAATAGCAGGATAAATGTATCCTGGGCCCCTTCAAAATGGTGTCAAAAATTCCATCTCAGCCAGAGAAATATCAAAAGTCCCGAGAAAGTTTCCTCAGTGGAGCCCCTCCTGCAGTATAAAGCACTCAGCACACAGGAAACTTCCATTCACTCTCTTCGCCTTGTGTGGTCTCCTTGGAGAGCAGACGGGATTATGGGAGTAAATACACCTGAATGTTCACCTGTGTTTTCTGAAGCACACATTGCTTCCTTCAAAGTACTGTATTATGTACCTCAGAGAAGTGGTAAGGGAAACACGTCTTAGGAAGAATTACAGATGTTATTTTGGGTGTTTTTTTAGTTTTGTTGTGAGACAGGATCTCACTATGTAGTTCAAGCTGGCCTTGAGTTCACTATGCAGCCCAGGCTGCCCTTGAAGTTGAAGTAATCCTCCTGCCTCAGCCTCCCCAGTGCTGAGATCATAGGTGTGTGCCACCACACCTGGTTTTTTGGTGTTTTGTTTTGTGTTTGTTTTGCCATAGTCAGGATTGATTGAAGGGCTTTTGCCCTGATCTACATCCTCAGCTTTTTAAAATTGTTATTACTCTTCTTTTTTAACTTTTAATTTTTGTTAGTGCATGATTGCAGTATATATTGATTAGATCCACTGCAGGGAATTGGTATGTGTTTATTTTGAAATAGTCTCACTAAATCACTCTGTTGCCCAGGGTGGGGCTCAAATTTAGGATCCTTCCTGCCTAAGCCTCCCAGAGTATCAGAATTACACATATGCCACCACCCCAAACTGAAGATAAAATGTAGTCTTCTACTTTATTGAACTGTTTGTTCTTTCCACAGGTGATGCATAGTTTCTTAAATTATTTGATTATTTCATGCTGCCTAAAATGCTGCGAGTCATCCCTGTTGTACAGCATCATGTGATACCATTATGCCATTGTTTTCATGAAATAATCATTCCTACTATAAAGAAAATCTTCCAGGGATTGGGTCATACCTTTTTTTAAAAATTCATAATGTGTAACACAGCAAAGATGAGATTAGTATTTATTTTTTTTTGTCTTGTGGTGACCTATTTACTAGTACCCATCAGATCTGAAATTAATCTGTAAGATATTAAGTATTAAAAATGATATTTTAAAGTGAATTCAAAGTAGACAAATCACACCATGAAAGACAAGGAGGAAACAAGCAGAAATCTATGAGACCACAGATTCTCCTCAGCATTAGGCTAAGTCAGTTACAGGCAACATTCGTGCTGACTTAAATGTACACTTACAACATTAGTGTACAGTCATCTCAGTCCTCTCTGTTGTCATCTACCAACTTCTCAGTCTTGCGCATTTTCTGAAGAGCAGGCATCTGGTTCTCAGATTTCCACTTCCTCTCTGGTCTAGCCATCACCCTGATCTACTTCAGCATTCACAAGTGCAATCCAGCCAGAACTCTGATAACTCTGTTCACCTCCAGTCCCATTAGACTAAGCCAGACCCTAGACTTAAGGTTTGGAAGATCACATTTTTGAACTTGTAAAATCAAGCCACCTAGTCTCTAACTATTCATTCATCTTCTGTCCTTCCAACTCTATAACTGTGCTTGATTAGTGGCCTTTTTGAGACCTCCAATTCTTTGGTTCCTCCATTTTCTCTGTCTAGAATCCAGTTGATTTGTGTTCTTCTCTTTCCTTTTATAATTCATTCTCTTTTAGAGTCCATGGTTTATGATTTCATGCAATGTCTGGCCAATATCTTCCACTTTCTGCCCCTGCTCATCTTCTAATACTCCTTCCTTTTTCCATCCCACAAGTCAAAATTTGATTTGGGAGTAATATAAATGATAATCTTCTGTGTGCTATTTTGGGCTTACTAAGAACAGCTGGGTAAAATTTTCAAACCTATGAAGGACGCTGCTGTAAACTGATAATCTCCAGACTCGACTAGTTGCGCAGTGCTATATGAAAGTGCTGTATTTCCTTTCCAACCCTTTCCATCATTGTCCACAATGCTATCTGCTCTTGGTTTCCTCCTCCCATATCCTTGTTCTCACCAGATCACCTTACCTTTTCATTCCCAGGAAAACCAATAAACCTGCCAATATGCACATTCCTCATTTTCTCATTCCATCTCATTCCAATAAAATCTTGATTTTCAACCAATTTGAGGGAGGTAACCCACTGGATACATGTATATCTATCCCTCCTACCTGTTTACAGATTTTTGCTCAACGTTTTTATCTTTCTAAAATTGTTAACAACTTTCTGCCTACTAACACCTTATTGACATTCAATAATGCTTCGTTCTTCTCTTCAATATTAAAAATCCCCTCTATAGACGTCAGGTCACTCTTCCTCTTTTCTACATTTTCTTCGGCAAACCTTTTGAAATGTTGCATAATATTCACCGTGTCTTTCTTTTTTCTCATTTCTCTACCCAGTCAATTGGATTCTATCATCACTGTAGTTCTCATGGACAAGACCAATACCCCTTTGCTGCTAAATCTCCTGACAATTTCTGGTCTTTTAATTATTTGACTTCTCTAAGACATTTATGTGGTTAGTCACTCCATTTTTCTGAAATGTTCTACCCTTTTGACTTCATACATTCTTGATTTTCTACCCATCTTTTCTGGTCATGTTTGTTCTCTTTTGTGAGGTATTCTCTTCTTGTCTTTTAAGGATTTGTATTTTTCAGAATATCCTACAAATCCTATTTACTTCTCACTCCAGAGTCTTTCTCAGTCATCCCATTAACCTCCATGGTTTCAATAAAATTCTGTACAAATGATTTTTCATATTTATCTATAGTGCAGACTTCTCTCTTAAACATCACAACTGTAGATACAACAATATCTTTCCCCTTGAATGTCTCAACCTGATTCACCCTAGTCAATACGTTCAACACCAAAGTCGTCATCTTTTTGTCAAATTGTATTACTTTCATTGTCCTTTGTCTCAGTTCATAGTACCATCATCCACCAGTGACCAAAGAAGGTCAACTTTGGACCAATGTTCAAACTTTCCTTTACCCAGGCTTTTATATTCAACTAATCAGCATGCCCCAAAGATCCCTTAAATCCATCCACCATGCTCCATGGCATTCCTAGTATATATCCTTCAATATGGCTAATAATTATAATTAAATGTCCTCTTTGTCTCCAGTCTTGTGAATTCCACAAAATTATCTCTTGGTAGCAATGAAATAAAATTAAAATACCAATACATTCATTTTATGATTGATTGTATGTTTGCCTCAATTTTTTAAAGTTGTGTTTATGAGCATTTTAAACAT